GCTCACAAAGAGAGAAACTATAAAATAAAATTCTCAATTTTGGGAGTAATTTATTGAAATCATATAAATTTAAAGCGTTAATTATAAAATAAAAATAATTAATCCTAAAATGCTATCAATACATAAATTTTACGTACAAGTGAGCAAAATAATTGAGCGTTAAACTATGCCTTCAATAATCATTTATAAAAGATCCAATCTGCTATATTAAAAACTGGAATAAGCAAAGCTTTTAAAAATTTTATTCCTTATGTGTCAGTTTAAATCTCCTAATAGTCATTATTATAATAGAGAAAGTGATAAGTGATTTCAATTTTTAAGCAGTTTAGTGTTATTATTCTGTGCTATTATAGATTTTATTTAAATGTGGAGATACGCACAATTAGACTGCATACTCCATATCATTATAAGATTGAATTGATGCTTATTCTTTTTTTCCTCTTAAGTTAATATTTCATTTTTGTTTATAAAAGTCTAGATAATAAATATTCTCATTAAAATGAATGAAATATTCTCATTATATGAAATGTATGATAAACTTGTGTAACATTAATTAAGAGTGGCCTATTTCCTTGTACTTAAAATATTGATAGCAATACGTGTCACTCAAATAACGATAGCATTCTAATGTTAATACAAATTCCGAAAAATTTTACACTATAAAATATTAATAAGAAACTATCATCGATAAATCATATACAAAAAAATTCATAATGTGATAAACTTTCTTAATATGTAATTTGACACTAAAAGTAAACAAAATGCCTCGTGAGTTAAATCTTTAAAGTATAAATACAGATTTAAGGAAATTTAACAAAAACATCGAGCATTTAATTCTAAAGACTCAAATGATCCCTCTTCGCGATATTTCACAGAGTAAAATATTTCTTTCGGTATTTGTGTCGAAGACACTTTACATAATTTAACGGATACCCGATCATAATTTCCCAGAACCTGTAGCTGTTTTCCAGGTTCGCGCCTGTTTTCTTGCTTGTACGAAACTTACATCAAGGGATCGAATAGTCCACCTTGTTTGCTGAAGAAAAGATCAAGGGGTTGCGTTGTGACTACTAAAACAAAGGCGCGTCACCTTTTATAGGACAAGTAAAACGACAAAGTTACGTCGATCCATTCTCGAAACGAAATTGCTTAGTAGTTCAGACAGCTCTCCCGTCTTTATTCAACTCTCGTTACGTTTAATCCCATTTCGAGACTATGCTATATCTCACCGATAAAATATTCCACTCGTCTTTTCCCCAATTTTTTCCGTATTTACGAAACAGTTCTTTCAAATTAAGTAAACTTTAGGAAGACGATTCGTTTTCAATGTAAATTACGCGAATTTTTCACAATTTACTTTAGAAGAATCGTCTTCCTAAAGTAAAATGTTGCATGCTTTAACGACGTTACTTTCTACGATAAAAAAAAAGATTATATCTATAATCCATTTTTTAAACTTTTATCTAAAGTTTTAATTACACTTGTAACTATTGCGCGTTTAGAGAAAAATATGCTAACAGATGTAGAAGAATAATGTGTATAAATGGATTTAATTTGCGAAATACTTGACGTTTTTCTAAATTAAATCCATTTATCCATATATTATTATTCCATACTATCCATATAAAATCATCTACAACAATACAATTCTATTTTGTGCGTCAAAAAATAATTTTGTGTTCCTTTTTTATTTTCTTTAGCTGTTTCTTATAGATTTATGAATTTTGAATCATTAAATTCTAGTAAGTAAAAGACTTTCAAATTATATAAAATATAAACACAGAGAATATAAACTTTAAAAAAGTAACTGTAGTACGCACTCGAAAGTTTTACGTGAGCCAAACTTTTGAAATCCCTCTTGAGATATCTAATTAATTTTCTGTACACTTATAAGAAAATGCGGATCTTTTTTGCGCTTTTATTTTTTAGAAGACGCGAAAAATATTTAAAAATCTTATAAATATTCTAAAATTATTCAAATATTCAATTTTTTATTTTTTGGATTAAAAATTGTTTGAAAATTATTACTAGAATCGATCATTTTAAATGGAGGAGAACTTCGCAGCCTCGTAAGTTTATCAGCCTCCGGCTGGCTTGAAAAGCGAAAAGCTTCTCTCTGGGCTGATCAAGGTTCCGGAGCTTGCGCACTGGGTGCTGCTTCCCGGTGCACCTATCCGAGGTGGGTGGGCTTTTTTCCTTACTCGCGACGTACGAGGCGAGTTACGGCCATCCACGAAAGCCGGCACACAGAAATAGCCAGCGGTAAAACGCGTGTTTAGTTCCGTGGTGAAAACGAAAGAGCCGAAAGCTCGTGGCTTATCGATCCCGAACGCGTGAGTCAACCCTTCTCCGTACAATCTCGATCAACTTGCGAGAGCGAAGCTCGAAGCTCCTCTCGACGAGGCACGCCCTATCGCGTCTGCGAAATGCGTCTCTCACTCGCGATGTGGTTGAACAGTATAATTCGAACAAGAGTACCTTTGTAATGGAATCCGCGAAGGCGCAAGGGCAAATCGAGCATCCCGAGAGCATGTGATGCTGCTGGAAATAAACGCGCGGATACGTTTTAACGTTGAGGTACGCTTACTTGGAAATATAGCGCAAAAAGGAGCTATCAAAAATTATTTAAGAACGTAATTAGAATAATTTCTATTGGTTGATTATGCGGCGTCGTTGATATATTCAATAAAAAATATTCAATCCAAAATGTCATTCCTAAGAATTGATTTCTAAAAATATTTTAGAATTAAAATTTATCCACCGTTTTTTACAAACATTAATTCATTCAAGTTAACAGGCAGTTACAATAGATGGTTAACGACTTATAAAAACGCTGTACGATTTCGACAATTTTTCGCGGAAAAAATATTTGCGATTCTTACACGAGCCGAACTATTCCAACGCTTGCGATCAACGTTACGAACGTAGATCGTTTGCTTTTCAGCGGAGAGAAAAAGCCTGCACATTATACGATTTCTTTCGAGTTTCTCTCGTCGAGGTCCATCCGTGGGACGATGATCGTCTCATCAATTGAGACGTGAATTTTCGCGGAGTCGAGGATGCAATTGCCACGAAAAATGAGCGCCCACAACGTGATGGCGAGCATCGGTCGTACCCTGGGTAACCGCGAGAGCAAACCGCTGGCGTCTAATGAGATTCGTTTCGCTGGGGACGAACGAAAAGATAAGCTCTATGAACCGAAGCACAAGCAGAAGGTGGTACGAGTACTGACGGTGGTCGCGTACGTCATATTTGTCAGCATGGCTGCTATACTGCTCTCCTTGTATTACACCTTCGTCTGGAATCCTAAGGATCAGACAATTAGAAGGACGAAAATCGAGAAGCAGGAGTGTTCAAAGACTTCTTCCTTCGACTCCCTCACGACTCCGCCAATCTCAAACGGTAAAGGCGTTGTTACTGCAACCCGAAAATATGAAAACCTTCGTTGAGAACTTCACGCTGATACATTAGAAATCATACAGAATTATAATTCTATATGAAAAGAATAATTTTGCTGAAGAATCTAAAGATTTAGCTAGATACAGATTTAGAAATAATTTTGGACTATCAAAATTATTATGCAGAACACTCAAACATAATGAATAATGCTGCAAAAGGTTTTGACACTATAGCAATCAGTTTCAGCGTCCTACAAAATTATTTTAATGGTCTAACATTTATTTTTTGATTTATATCTATCTAAATTTTTTAATACTTTAGTAATTTATATCTAGCTAAAGTTTTAAATATTCTGTACGCTATAAATTTCATGAGTGAAAGTATAAATGCCTCGTGAAATTAAACTTATAAAATTCGAATAAAACATAAAGAAATATCCCCTATTAAAATCCAAAAAATTACGTTGTAATATCAATATAAATAAAAAATCTTGCAAATATATTACATTTTATAAAATGTTTGAAAAAATTAAACACAAATTAATTTCTGTAACGTATTACAAATAGTATGCAATTATTTTTACAATTTAATGATATTCTTTTTTCACAGAAACGCAGATCGAAAGGATGACAGCGAGATCTACGACGGTAGAAAATAAACAATTGGAACAAATTGATTTATCGATCACTCAACGACAAAAAAGTTTCTCGGAAGTTTTCACGGAAATTGCAGACGTCAGGGAGACGTCTGTAGAGCTCACATCAATATCGACAACAGGAGATTATCATAATTTCACTAGCATTACGAGCGAAGATGATGAGAGTGTTACATAAGCGAATATATGATCAAACTTTTCACATCTCGTATTGAAAGTAATAAAGTGCAAGGAACCCAACTAGTAATCGCTAATAAAGTATCAATATCTATTAGTACATATAAGGAAGCAATTGTCTTTTAGTTCTTATGGACAGAGAACGTTAGAAGTCGTATCGATCTGAATTTGCCAAATGAAAAACCTTATAGAGACTAGAATTCACTGAGACAAATATAGAAACTAGATACATTAAAATAATTTAAGTATCTAATTGTCTATAGAATTACATGGATGGCACTATTGCAAAAATACGATAGAAGAAATTAATAAGTGATGGAATTACAGATAAAATTATACATGTATATTCTATCGCAGACTTCATCTCTCTTATAAATTCAAATAAATCAAACAAATTTTGTATCTTTATTGTGTAATAAAACGACTAGATTACAAGTGTAATTTTTTATGAAGAATCATTTTTTCAGATTCTTTTCATCAAGTTTCTTGTATCATATTGATAGTTAGAAAAAACTCAAAATATTTTTGTAATTATTAATATTGGAAAGAGAAGTACATGCAGCAATGATAAAATAGAAATTCGTTATAATTCTAACGTGTTTTTTATCGTGATTAACATTTACGCGATAGATGTTTTTATGTAAGTTTTTTATGATTAAAATAAAGATCCTACATTGAAGTAATTATTTTACACTTTATTTACAAAATAATTACTTTATTTACAACGATAGCGCAGTTGTATAAGATTACGCGTTTATTGTAATTATTAAATTATTTATAATTATCTCTTCGCATGATATACACAAGTATAGAAAAATAATTCAAGTCTCAGCATTTAATCGTGTGTACTTTAGATTCTGATTCTATCATTTTAGTGGCTCTATTCTGACCCACTATTTGGGCTAGAGTTATGGCGTCAAATTTGTTGTAAACGACGGTTACCGACATATTGTACTCCGTGCCGGAACGTGGATTCTGATACAGACTGTCCATTAGATTACACATTTCGCTGTAGAAATGTGGATAAGTGGGCAGCTGGTAGAATATAAGGTGACGGATACCCTTTATCCTCGTTCTGCGCCAGAAATGCCAGCGTTCTGTATAGAGGAGGAAATGTGCGTCGCTGTGAAAGAACATATCCCTCGCTCGGGCGACCTTTCGATCCTGGGTATACTCGCTAATCATCGTGAAACTCATCTTCTCCTTCATCATGCGATTGCGCAGATATACGAAGTCAAAGTAGCACGGCACGTAGATTAATGTGTGATTGTATATAGGATCCGTGTATCGCGGCAATATCTCTTTCAGGAAGAAATCCAGTCTGCTATCAATAGCCTGACAAAGATCGGAAGCGTCGAATCTGTAGAAGACCTGTGGAACTTTGATGGTCACGTCATGAATCGAGCCCGGTTCTAATGCATTCGCCACTTTCACCTGGCCGGCGTAGTTAAAGCATTTCCTGATCAGCATCGTGTTTATATATGGTGTTTCGATACTGGAAAAGATTAATGTCTGTCTGTAATATTTTGTCCAGCCATTCACGCACCAACTTCTAAGGCGGGAGTAATCGATATCGTGAGATTCCTTGGGTTGCAAATGCATGTAATCCAAAACTTGATACAGATGATCCCAGTTTTGCATGAGAACCGTGTCAATCTGGTCCATGATTAGCAACTCTATAGATGACAAAAAATCGTAGTCTCTCACCGTTTCGCCTTCTGCACCTACTACTCTCCTGAGACCCAACGGCGAACCGATTATAATGTCGGAAGAATAGAAATTCGTGTACAACTTGAGAGTTTTCTTGGTAAGCGCCATGCCTATCTTGAATTTGTCGTCGATATTTCCTTGCAAGGTCAGTTTATAATCTACTGGTTTAGGATTTTTCTTGGGCATCGTTAATTCGTTTCCAGTAAAATCCTCCATGAATCGCAGCTTGTTGATGACAGAGCCGCCTTTATCTTCCCCGAACAAAATCGAGATGAACATCTCAACTATCTTCAAGCAAGAATGTTTGAATGGCACTATTATGAGTACTTTGGGCCTAACTAAACCCTGATCCTTGTACTCGTCTGGTACTTCTCCCATGCCATTACGATTGGCTTTTGCTAACTTTGCACTATGATGCAGTATTTTTGTTCGGGTCTTCAGAACATGATTAATTACATGCAGGCAATAAACAAATCGTATTTCATCGGCATTGGAAAATATACTTCCGGGATAATGCAAGTCTTGATAATTATTTACCACGGAAAACAATTCTCTTTGAAGAGAAGTTAAAGGTGCAGAATCTTTTTCTATAGTATCTTTTATGTTATCATAATTAGCTTTAATTAAATTATTTTGAATCTGTGATTTTACATGCAATTTGTTCCAGTCGACGTTCTCAATCAGAGTGGGAACCTTACCATAATTTGTAAATTGTTTCTCTTCATCGTCTAGAAGCTTTTTTACTTTTACTGCTTTATCGTTTGAATCAACAGCTGGTTTTGGAATTTGACATACCAAATTCCCCAATGTAGGCCATGATAACGTTGTAGTCTCTGTAATCTGTGGCGTTGATGAAACTGCTTTACACAGTTCATCATCCATATCATTACGTAAATGCAAAGAGAATGGATCTCTCAAATGGCCAATGTCTTCTTGGGCAGTCTCAGCATCTTCATAGTCATCCTCTTTCATCCTGACTATAATCTTTTCATCCTGACCAGAAGATTCTTCATTTGCTTCAGATTCTTCATTCTTTTCTTCAATGTTTTTCTTTTTCGTTTTCTTCATTTTTTTCGTTTTTTCCTTATCTGTTTCATTTTTATCCTGTGTATCAGAATTTTCATTTTCACTTTCTGAACTTGTCACAATTGGCTTCCTTAATTTCTCCATTAAATTTGTATGTTTATAACCAGATAACCTAGATATATAAAGCATCCAAGGATCAACCTCTTCCTCTTCAGAACTATCTGTTTCCTCCAGTCGCTGACGTATCTTCTCCTCTTCCATTATTCGCCTGCGAGCTTCAATTTCTTCATTCTTTGTGTCACGTTCTTTAATATAAGAGGCTTTCCTAAAGTCGAATTTTTCTTTCTTCGGCTTTGGTCGTTTTTGTGCATTGCGTTCATCAATTTTTCTCTTTTTACCACGAAATGAACGCTTTCCCATCGGAGCCATTGGAATAATGTAATTCTGATTTTATCTATGTGGATTATACACGTATTGCTAGAGAAAAAGAAAATACATATACAATTAATCTAATTGAAAATTTTCTAACATGCTATTACTTCGGCTAGTAACACATGATAAGAAATAGCATAATAATTAATTAAATCTAACGTAACTTTTATTCATATTCAATTTATTCATATTGCTAGAATTTCTACCATGTTAGTACAACTTTTGTTTATTTCATTGTAAAATTTTATTTTCAATAAATATATTATTAAATAATAATTTAGGTAGTAACATGCGATAAGAAATGGCATAATAATCAATTTAATCTAACGTAACTCTTCATTACATATTCAATTATCGGTAAAAAATAATTAAATGGTATATCAATTTAAATAAATCAAATTTTCAGTAAACCTACCCTTCGAGTACCTGCTTAAATAATTAACTGCATACTTCTGTTCCCAATAGTTATAATTACATATTTTTGTATACAATAATCTCATGGGCACATAACCTCAAATCATCTCGTGCGATAGCAGCGATACAAACACAGACGTCACAGACACTAGATTTACGAACTAAAGGTGTCTATAGTACTGCACTAACCATTTATCCCGAGAAGAATGAACCAATCACCCCAAAGCAAAAAGGAAATGCGCGCGAATTGATGCGCGACTACATTCACGTGAAAACGCATTAGTCGCCATTTTGAGAATGTAGGATACGTTCTACTCCCACAGCGTGGAAGTCGCAATGCCTATGAGCATCATTACATCCTTGTTGTTTATCAGATGTTCAACAAGGATAAATGCCAAGTGGAATGTATCCTAGATGCGCCAATTACAAAACTAAAACCGATGCGAGATAAATTCTTATATTACTTTTTGAATAAAAATATAAAGTAATATCTTTACAAAAGATTTAAATAATAACACAGTATTACGTTAATTTCCGATTGTTCTTATATCCCGTCTTATTTAGAAGAGAATTTGTTTGAACATTATATCGTAAGAATTACGTACTATTCATTCATATTTATTAATTCACGTTTTCGAAAAAAAAAAGATATCAACAATCACAAGTAATTTCAATTAATTGGAGCAGCTTTCGTCGCTGAAAAGAATCAAAAAGACTCACCATCGAAGCAGCGTCCTGTTCACCGTTGCGCCAAAAATGTCCGACTTTCTGGAACGGATCTCAAGGCGTTGCACTGTGCACAAAAACTGCAAACTACATCCTCTTTTAACAAATATCCGACGTAATCACGCTTTACACTTGCACGCACTTTACACTTCAATCCGAACGACGATACGCGCGCGACTTTCACGAGATACTCCAACGGGTTCCAATATCCTACCATAGCTCTTATTCACTCCAACGCGCTTGGTAGAATGAGTAGGAGCTATAGTAGGAGCATGTTGGAGCATGTTGGAGCTTGCGACGCGACAAACTTACGGAAATGATCGTTGAGAAGAAACCGGAAAGGATACGATTTGGCGGCAAGATCACGTCTAGCGCGGCTAAGTTCAAATCGGATCGCGCGGAAAGTGCATTAGCGGCGAGATAAAATTACGTTTTCGATATCATATGAAAAAAATGGACGAATTGAACGAAAAAGAAAATAATTTCTGTCAATCTAACTTTTGAAAAAATCAAAAAGATTCATTGAAAATTTTTAGAATCTTTTTTGTACTTGCATGTAAACGTCGAATGCAAAAGACATACTTCCTTTAACAAATCTTAAGTCTCAAAATAATTAAGAAAAATGATAAATAACAAAATAAAAACAAAATAATATAATCAGATAATAAATAATAATAATAAAAAAATAATAAATAAAAATGATAAATTGAGAAAAATAGAGTGCAAAAACTGTAAAGGCGCGATATTTGATTTAAAAAATTAGAACTCAATAATTATAAATATGTCGAATTACTTAAAGAAATTTTTTAATCCATGTTCTGCGTGTAGAATAAAACAATAATCGGTTTAATTAACAACGATTAGAATATATGCACTCGGTTAAACATTCTGTGGTCGGTTGAAATTATATATAACTGCTATAATTGTAAGTATAGGACGCAATCTAGAAAGAGACTACAATCTAGAAAGAGACGGAAGATTAGCTAAATTGGAGTCAATCAACGCATTAGCGAAACTTGCACTTGACTTAATATATCGGCGCGTAACAATTATCTACCTCGTAATTATCTCTGGCGAATTCAATTCTGTGGAGCTCAAGTTTCACGGATGAATTCATCGTCACAAGACGGCGAAGACAGGAGAGAAAGAGAGAGAGAAAGAGAGAGAGAGAGAGAGAGAGAGAGAGTAGGAAAAAAAGAGAACGAAAACTTACTTCCATTCGAAAGCGGAATTTGTTCGAAATTGCGTGGAATCTTTTGATACTATTGTCCATTCCGCCGACGATGTGCGAACGACGACATAGCGTAATAGGAAGGGGTACGAGCGGGGAGAAGCAGGAAAAAGCGGGCGAAATTAATTGACCCTTCGCTCGCACTTGTTTACAAAATATCCGGTCCCTAAACAGGGCTCGCGCGAGCCGCGGTACCGAAGCGAATGATTGCCAACTTCACTGCGCGCGCATCGCAACGATATCGTCAGTGCCGTGAAGGGAGCGCAATATCTCGGCGATACGCGCGATCACGCGTAAATACCCTCTTGAAATGAACTGACCTTCCTTTAACAGAAATTTTTCTTAGAATTTTTCATATAATTTTGCAGAATTTCTGTATAATTTAATTACTATTTAGAGAATTTCTCAGATTTTTTTATCCAACGAATTGCAACATTTTTCAAAAATGTTGAGAAAGTCTCTATTTTTTTTTTCTAAAATGTTATACAATATTCTAAAAATTTAAAAATATGTGGAATAAGATTTCTCATTCTGTAATTTCCGAAAAAACTTATAAAAACTGAAGAAAAGGCATTTTTCAGAAATCTTCATAAATTTAAAATATGAAAAATTCTTAAAAATATAAGATATCCCATATAACACAAAAACTGTGCAACATTGCTGCAATGTTGTTGGAATAATCTATGTATCATATAATAATAATTTTTTTCGTTGAAATTATATCAAAGTTATTCAAATTGGAACGTGACATACATTATATAATAAACGTAATTAATTTTCAACTTTTATTCGATTTAATCTTCCTTCAAACGCCAATCGTATTATTATAAATCTTAACATCCTTGAGAAAATATTTTTGAAGGGAAAGTTTCCGTTCAAGACAAAGAAAAGAGAATAATTACGAGGCTTACGAATGATTCGCCTAAGAAATAAATGAATTCATATTTCTCGCAAGATCGCAAATCTTAAATACGATGAAATAGTACGCGGGGCGCCGGAAAATCTGGAGCAATCCTGACAGCGCGAGTCGCCGCCACCGTTCGGCGAGCGCACTACACAAGCAGCAGTTCGTACGGTTTCAGGGAATTCGGAGTAGTATTTCGAGCGCCCTTTATCCGCGTTCGTGCCGTCCAGCTCTGTCGTGCGAGACGGAAAGGGACGAAGAGATACGGTGAAAAGAAAAAAAAAGAGAGACTAGGAGCTAAGTCCAGCCACTAGCCAGGCGGCCGGCGAGAAACGTTATCGGATTCACAGCAGTCTCTCGCACGGTTTCCCGGCGTGGCTCTGCCAATCGTGGCCGACCGCAGCCGGCCCCGCCGGCGGTGGAGCTCGCTTCGCGCGCGTGAAGTTGCCTACGGACGGGCGCACGGTGACGGGCGAGGGGAGTCACACGCGAGCGACGGCGAGGGAGTCGGGGAGTCGGGCGATCGTACGACGGCGACGCACGCACCACGTACGGACGGTCGGTCGAACGCTGTCGATCGGTGGTCAACACGTCGGTGTGACGAGGACGGGCCAGTAACGAGGGCGGCCTACGAGCGATATTTCCCTGCGTGTCTGATGAGCTCCTCCGCTGCGCCGCTGCTGCTGCTGCTGCTGCTGGTGGTAAGATGGCTGTGCAGCTGGACGGTGGAGGGAAGGAGGACCTGAAAACACAATTCGTCACGCGGGAGGGCACCTACAAGCTGATGACCCTGTCGGAGTACTCGAGACCGAACCGAGTCGGTTACACCAACAGCCAGGGCAGCGCGTCCGTCAGGGTGTCCTTCGTCACGCTGCCGGACCCAGCAGACCCCACGGGTGCGCAGGGCCTCGGTGACCGAATGTGCTTCAATTTCGGCAAGGAGCTCTACGTCTACGTCTACCGTGGTGTCAAGAAGGTGAGCCATGACCCAGCGACGACAGCGACGGTGACGCGCGACGCGTCCGAAGTATACCCGAGCCGTCGTCGTTGCGACCTAACCTCGCAAACGTCGAGAGACCTCCATCTTTGCGAACTGGCTCGGTTTCCCCGTGCCTCGTCTCCTCCGCGACGACGAACGCGACGTCGAGAGCTTCCTCTGGGGTCGACTCGCGTCGAATCGTTGCTGCCTTTCTCCCCTCCTCTTTTTTTTTCCTTTTTCTTACTCGTCAACGAGAGAGCTGACTGCAATCACTCGCGCTGACGTTTCTCGGAAGTATATCGAGTAATCACATACCTAAACAGTATCGCAGATGATACTGTTATCTTAATTCTTACAATTAGTATTCATTGATGGAATCGTTGATTTACGTGTAAGAAATAAAAAGCCGACAGAATTAACTCTCATAGATGTCTTAAATCAGCTCTGAAAAGTTTTCGAGATAAGAAAATGGTCTGTTTTTTACAACTGCACTAGTATATTTTCTTTGGAATTTAAATTGCTTTCTGTGATTGAATAAGTATACACTTTAGGAATTTAAAGTGAGATAGGTATATGTTTGATATTTGATAAAAACAAGAAAGAAAGTTCTACTGCAGGAATAAGAAACCTAATGTGAAATAGGTGTATGTTCGATATTTGACTAAAGTAAGAAAGTTTTTTTGGAGACTAGTGCAGAAATGAAAAACATCCAATATAGTTCAAATAACTTATCGTATGTATAGCCATTTCAAATTTTTGTACATTAAAAAGTAAATTATTTATCAACTGAAAAGATTTGGTTGAAGAAACTCGACATGACGCGGTATTAAAATGTTTCAGGCTGTAGACTTGAACAAACCAGTGGACAAAAAGTTATACAAGGGAACTAATCCGACCTGTCACAATTTTAATCAAACAACAGCAACGGCCGATAGCGCTCCATTGCTGGTGGGATTTTCTACGGGGCAGATACAGCTGATCGATCCGATAAAGAAGGACAGTTCTCAACTCAGCAAATTGTACAATGAAGACGTATGTAAAAGCAAATTTGGCATGAAATTTCTATTGACAAGTTTCTATCAGTTACGTGAACCTCAAGGAAAACTTCTCATCTGCATCTGCATTTGCTAGAGAGAATGATTTCCTGTATTATCTGCTAGCTTACATGGCGATAAATAATCTCTTAGTTCAAACAATATTCTCTATGCAGCTAATATCAACTGTAGTTTCCTGGCAATGTGTGTAATAGCTGTCAACACTTATCCGTTCTTGATGATATGTCTGTGT